TTGGGGCGGAAGGCTCGAGCTTGCGGTTCGTGGTCCCCCTCTGGGCCCCCTCTTGGGCCCGTCTTGGGGCCCTCTTGGGCCATCTTGGGCGCCTCTTGGGCCGTCTTGGGGCCTTTTGGGCTGTCCTGGGGCCTCTTGGAAGCTTCTTGGGCCGTCTTGGGGCGGTCTTGGGCGCCTCTTGGGCCGTCCTGTAACGTCGGAAAGCCCAAAAGACAACGTTGTTGAACATGTACGTTTTACGAAAGGAATGGGCCAATTTTTGCGTCTAGGGGCCCTCTTGGGACGCATGTTGGAGGCTTCTTGGGGCCTCTTGGGGGCGTCCTTGGACGCTGTCCTGGGGCCCTCTTGGAAGCTTCTTGGGCCGTCTTGGGGCGGTCTTGGGCGCCTCTTGGGCCGTCCTGTAACGCCGGAAAGCCCAAAAGGCGACTTTGTGAAAAATGCACGTTTTACGAAGGGAATGGGTCAATTTTTGCGTCTAGGGGCCCTCTTGGGACGCATGTTGGAGGCTTCTTGGGGCGTCTTGGGGGCGTCCTTGGACGTCTGGGGTCTCCTGGGGCCTCTTGAGGGGCCTCCTGGGGGCCTCCTGGCGGCCTCTTGGGGCGGAAGGCTCGAGCTTGCGGTTCGTGGTCCCCCTCTGGGCCCCCTCTTGGGCCCGTCTTGGGGCCCTCTTGGGCCATCTTGGGCGCCTCTTGGGCCGTCTTGGGGCCCTCTTGGGCTGTCCTGGGGCCCTCTTGGAAGCTTCTTGGGCCGTCTTGGGGCGGTCTTGGGCGCCTCTTGGGCCGTCCTGTAACGTCGGAAAGCCCAAAAGGCGACTTTGTTGAAAATGTACGTTTTACGAAGGGAATGGGTCAATTCTTGCGTCTAGGGGCCCTCTTGGGACGCATGTTGGAGGCTTCTTGGGGCCGTCTTGGGGGCGTCCTTGGACGTCTGGGGTCTCCTGGGGCCTCTTGAGGGGCCTCCTGGGGGCCTCCTGGCGGCCTCTTGGGGCGGAAGGCTCGAGCTTGCGGTTCGTGGTCCCCCTCTGGGCCCCCTCTTGGGCCCGTCTTGGGGCCCTCTTGGGCCATCTTGGGCGCCTCTTGGGCCGTCTTGGGGCCCTCTTGGGCTGTCCTGGGGCCCTCTTGGAAGCTTCTTGGGCCGTCTTGGGGCGGTCTTGGGCGCCTCTTGGCCGTCCCGTCGTCGCGGAAAAAAACCTGTAAAAAAATGTACGTTTTACGAAGGGAATGGGCCAATTTTTGCGTCTAGGGGCCCTCTTGGGACGCATGTTGGAGGCTTCTTGGGGCCTCTTGGGGGCGTCCTTGGACGTCTGGAGGCCATCTTCAGCATCTCGGAGCCCTCTTGGAGGCCTCTTGGAAGTTTCTTGGGCCGTCTTGGGCGCTCCTGGGGCCGTCTTGTCTGACCGGGGAGGCCTCCGGCAAGCCCCGACGAGCCTCCGGGCCCCCCGGAGCCCACATTTGTGGTCGGGGTCCCGGCCCCGGGCCCCCGGACCCGGTGCGCCGTTATATGTATACTAGAACCATCGCGCGCGCTTCGCGCGCGCTCAAGTTCTAGCTAGGCTTGATCGGCTAACTCATGTAACATCATGTTGGTCGCTTCTTGCGTCCATGGACTCCCTTGGAGGCCCTGCGCAAGCCTCGGAATCGTATAGAAGGGGAAGTGCGGAAGGTATTCAACGACTTGGGGCCCTCAAAGGCTTCCTGAGTTATTTTTGAAGGTGAGGGGGATCGTAATTTTGGTCTGTTGTGCAAGAGTAGTCCAGGGGCCAAGCTTGGAAAACAAAACAAAAATGTGGGATTCCATTTTTTTTCCAACTCCTCGGCGCTGTTCGGCGCTGTTTTTTGTTTGTGCCTCGCGGGTTTTGTTAGCCGGGCCCCTCAGGGGTGTGCGATCTTCCAGGCCCCCTGGGGCTTCTGGAGGCCTCCTGGAGGCTTGGAGAGCCGTCGGAAGGGTGTCTCGGGCTGCGCGGGAGCGTGTTGGGCCGTTCTTTACGTTTGGGGGGCTCCTTGGGGTCGTCATGGGCTGTCCTTCGGCGTCTTGGAGTCTCCCCCTGGGAAGCCGGGAGGCGCGGTACCGGCCAGATGTCAGGGGATGTGTGGGACCCCCGAGTAGGAGTCCCACTTTTCTAAAGAAGGGAATTCTGGGAATTCCCTTCTTTAGAAAAGTGGCTGTCTTCTTCTGGGACCCCTTTCGGGCGCTTCTTGGGCTTCTCGTGGGCCGTCTTGGGGGCCGATTGGGCCGTCCTGCGTTCCTCCCGGGCCGTCTTGGAGATTTCTTAAGGGCCTCCTAGGCCGTTTTGGGGGGCCGCTTGGGCCGTCTTGGACGCGGTGACAGCCCAAGAGGCGAGCATGCGAAAAATATACGTTTCCAATAGGAATGGACGGATTTTAGTTTCTTGGGGCTCTCTTGGGGTGCCTCTTGGAGCATCTTGGGGTGCTTTGGGGGCCTGCTTGGGGCCTCATGGGGGCGCATCAGCGCCTCCTGGGATCTCTTGGGGCCGAAAGCTCGGAATTCGAGAGTGGCTTCTTTCTCTGGGACTCCTCTCGGGCGCGTGTTGGGGCTCTCTTGAGCCGTCTTGGGGGCCCATTGGGCCGTCCTGGGCTTCTCGTGGCCCGTCTTGGAGCTCTTTGGGGGGCCTCCTAGGCCGTCTTTGGAACCCCTTGGGCCGTCTTGAACGCGATGACAGCCCAACAGGCGAACATACGAAAAATATACGTTTTCCCGCAGGGATGGGACGATTTGTGCTTCTTGGAGCTCTCTTGGGGTGCCTCTTGGAGCGTCTTGGGATGCTTTCGGGAGCCTTCCGGGCGCTTCTTGGGGGCTTCTCGGCGCCTCCTGGAGCCACTTGGGGTCGAAAGCTTGGAATTCGATGGTGGTTTTCCTCCTCTGAGGCCCTCTCGGGCCCGTCTTGGGGACTCTCTTGGGGCGTCTTGGGCCCTTCGTGGGCCGTCCTGGAGCTCTCTGGGGCTGTATTGGGGCCCTCTGGGGCGCGTCCTCGGCCGGACCGACAGCGAAAACAAGCAATATGTTAAAAATATACGTTTTACGAAGGGAATGGGGCTATTTTGGCCCCTTGGGGCTCTCTTTGCTTTGGGGCCCTATTGGGAGTCGCTTGGGGTGTCTTGGGGGCTTCTGAAGCCGCCTTGGAGGCCATGTTGGGCGTCTGGGAGCGACCTTCGGGCGTCCCGGGTCTGTTCTGGAGCCTCTTGGGGCCTCCTTGGTGCCTTCTGGCGGTCTTCTGTGAGGCCCCGGGGCTCCCCGAGGGCCCCAGAGCCCACATTTGCGGTAGTGGCGCTGGCCACGGGCGCCCGGACACGGTGCGCCGTTATTTGTATATGTACCGAATTTTCCAAACACGCTAAGCAATCTGTGGCGAACGCGTGGTCTGTGCCAGTGGCGGCACGGGCATTGTGCCTACAGTCTCTGTGTGGTCGGCGCTGGTGGCGGCACGACTGCAGTACGCGAATTTGTCTCTCTCGGCATCATGGTCAATCCACTATTGTACTTCACCGGTTGCATCTAGGCTCCGCAAAGTGCACTTCTGCATTGTCGTGGGTGTGTTGTACGAGAAGTGGACGGGAGGGACTCCTGGACAATGACTTGTGAATGTTGGGTCCCTAGGCGCTCCTGTCGCCGGCCAGAGTCTGCAAGTGGCAGCGCCCATCATCATCAGCATCATCATCACCATCATCATCATCATCATCATCATCATCACCACCACCACCACCACCACCACCACCACCACCACCACCACCACCACCACCACCATCATCATCATCATCATCATCATCATCATCATCATCATCATCATCATAATCATCGTCGTCGTCATCAGCATCGTCATCATCATCATCATCCTCCTCCTCCTCCTCCTCCTCCTCATCATCATCATCATCATCATCATCATCATCATCATCATCATCGTCATCATCATCATCATCATCATCATCATCATCATCATCATCATCATCATCATCATCTGCATCATCATCACCTCCAGCATCATCATCGTTATCACCATCATCACCATTATCATCAGCGTCGTCACCATCAGCACCATCGCCAGCCTCAACATCATCGTCACCACCACCACCATCATCACCATCATAATCATCGTCGTCATCACCATCATCAACATCCGCATCACAATCATCAGCACCGTCATCATAATTTGCAACACACTCATCATCATCATCATCATCATCATCACCACCAATATCATCGTCATCATCATCACCATCCGCATCATCATCATCATCATCACCACCATCACCAGCATGATAATCACCATCACCATCATGATTATCATCATCAGCATCATCGTACTCATCATCATAATCCTCATCTTCATGGTCATCAATATCATCATCATCATCATCATCATCATCATCATCATCATCATCATCATCATCACCATCATCAATATCAGTATCGTCCTCCTCCTAATCAGCCTCACCATCATCAACAACATCAACGGCATCATCACCAGCATCACCACTACCACCACCATCACCACAATCAGCATCTTCATCACGATCAGCAACAACAACATCCTCAACATCAACCATCCCATCAACATCATCGTACCCCTCCTCTTTCCCGACCCGGGGGTACCAATTGAGTCCCGTCCCGTCACACAAAACATGGACCCCCTGGCTTTGCGATTCCGTCCCTGTCCGACCACACTTCGGCAGCAAACCTGCCGTGCCAATTGCGCCTTCGGAGCACGCAGCCCTCTCCTCCTCCTCGCACGTGGACTGCGCAGCACATCCACAACTCCTCAACCACCTGCCCTACCTGAACAGCTGGAAACGGACAGCGGCGGCAAGCGCACGGGCCTTGGGCTCGTTCGCAGCCCCCTCCTCCTCCTCCTCTTCCTCCTCCTCCTCCTCCTCCTCCTCCTCCAGCCTTCGTCCCTCCCTCCCACCCGTTCCTTCCCTCCACCTGCTCTCCCCTTGCCCCGCGCTCGGCAAAGAGCAGGTTGCGTGAGACGCGCGCGCGCGCGCCTCCAGGGCAACGCCACGGTCGCCGCGCAGCTCTTCGGTGACGAGCGCAAAAGCCTCCGCTGGATCACACGCATGGAGGGGGCTTCGATCTGCGATCCTCGAGGAGGACGGGCATAAGGAAAGAGAGATGAGAGAGGAGAGAGGAGGAAAGCAGCAGGAGCAGGAGGGTCTTTCAACAGCGAGCTACAGCAACGCATGCTAGCAGCGATAAACCTGAACTCGCACATGGTTGCCGATCGACCCATGGCCTTGAGAACGGACAATACAACGGCGGCCGCCTCCAAGTGTACATGGAGAAAGGCCACCACCACGCTGCAGCAAGAGGGCAGCGGCGGCCGACCCAATCGGGCAAACCAGCACCACACCGCTGTGGTTGGGGGCGAAAAAACACACACCACACAAGAGCAGAATACAAAACGCCACGGCGGCCACCGAGGCGAAGGTCCAAACCACAATGCGGGGCCACGGGCCGCAGAACTTTGGGGGCAACACGCCTTAACGGGAAGGCGTGTGGCTCACCATGAACCTGTCTGAAAAAAACAGAAGGAAAACGTGAGGGGGAGGAGGGGGGGTGGCAAAACAGTAACGCAAAATGCCTGGGCAAACCGCCGATCGAGGGTCCGCCGCGGGCGCCGATGGGAGCCTCAACGGGCCGACTGAACGCCCACAGCAGAATTTCAAAGCCTTCCGGATCCAAGATTCAAGCCCAATATGACGGATAAGACACAACAAGAACTGGCGCCAACATAAATCCGAACTAGAGCCCTAATCCACCGCCCGTGCAAGCACAATGGGCGACTTGTCAATTTCGCGGCAAGTAAATCAACTACAGCATGGAATTGTAGGGGCGACCGCTCCCTCACAACGACTTAAGGCTGGAAGCCCAAAAGCTCCTGCACAATATTCAAGATACCGCCAGCACTGCTTCCCGATCGCATGAGCGCCTAAGGGGGGGGCAGTTGTCTCAACCGCAGCGTTGCGTCTGCGGAGGGAGAGGAGAGGAGAGAAGACCATAATTGGGGGGGCATGACGACAGAAATTACGGCGGCAATAATATGTACAACTGCGAGCGTACCGTTAATCAACATACTGTTTCTACGCGCTGGCGCTGAATCCAAACGGCGGCAGAGCATCCGATTTGAGTTGGGCTTGCGCGGGAAATCAAGCAGATTCGGTGTAGAAGAAAGAACAGAGAAAATGAGCCAGAACTGTCCAACCCCAAGCACATTCACAACTCAAGAAAATACCTTATCGTTGTTTGGGTTGACGGCGCGGCACGGCGGAAGTCGGGCCCACCAACTGTCGGAAGCTCGCTCGTGCTCTCAGGGACGGCACCGGAGAAGCTCTCACGAGTAGAAGTGGCGTGAAGTCGAACAGGTTGCATCTGTGTATGTTCGGTGGCCCCTGAATCCCAGAAAAACGTGCATGAAAGCCTGAGCGTGGCCGAAACGATGGCGGCGGTGGCAAGGAGGGCCTCCACAAAGGTGGCGCAGTCCTCGTCGCTGCCGTACTCCATCTCTCTGTCCCTGCGCCGGTACTGCTGCTGCTGCAGCTGCTGCTGCTGCGGGGGCCGTGGAGCACGACGTGGCGGGGTGCGCGGCCTGAGCCCATCAGTCGGCGGAGTGGAGCGCTGCGACCGTGGCACGCTAGAATCCAGGCCTGGCTGCGCACCCTGGCCGGGCTGTCGCAACCCGATCTGATCATGAGGTAAGCGAACTCACGGAGATGGACAACCTTGAACCTTTTCCTGACATCCGTAGAGGAGCCTCCTGCTAGCTCTCCTTGCGGCGTCTGCAGGCCGCTGCCAAAATACCCGAATTGCGTGATTTGCGCCAGCCGTACAGAACATCATTGGGCTGGTGCGGAAGAGCGCGGGCCTTCGGCACAACGATGACGTCTACAACCTTTCCAAGATCTCGCCGCGGGCTCATCCAGTGAGGCTACGGATGTGCATGGTCACCTGCGTGCCCGGCTCGCTGGAAGCACTGGCCTCCCCAACCATCCCAGTCGCACTAGCACTCTCTGGGAACACTGGAAACACAACCCATCACATCCCCACCCCAAGGACCAGCGGGGGCAACGACCACCCTCGTTCGCAAGGGCCCCGCGAGCAGGAGCATCAGCCACCGTCACAGAGGACGCTTTGCTGCCGACTGCGACTGCGAAGGGCCCGCAGCCAGGGCCCAGACCGACGGGTGCCGACGTGCCCCGCTCGCGGGGCCCCCGCTGAGCGGATGCTTCGGCCGCGGTCCCGCAGGACGCTCCGCTCCCGACTGCAGCCCCGTCAGAACTCCGACGGCCAGAGCACCACCAACGGGGGCTGGCTCACCTTCCGCGGGGCCCTCGTCAGCGGAGGCATCGGCCACCATCCTGGAGGGCGTTCCGCTCCCGACCGCTTCCCTGTTGGGGCGCACCCACAGCCAGTGTCAAAGGCGGCGCTCAGGAGGACCCTCTGTGCGAACATCGGGACCGCCGCTATTGCCGCTGAAGGTATAGGCACAAAACGTACTCAGAGCGCTGCCCGAGCATCTCGATGGCAAGTTCTCTGCCCCTGCAGGCGTCAAACAGCTGTCCACAGGTAGGCCCACGCAGGCCAGGTACACCTCCAACTCGCGCACACTGCGCTTCCAGGGGCGAAGGCTGCCCCCAGCATTCAAATCCGACGCGGGCTGGCTGGACACGACGTCCGTCCCAGGCTAGGACCCGCACTTGGTTTGTGACCACCCTCTCCTGCTGCATATCACGGACCAAGACTCCCCCATCCGAAAAGGGTCCTGCGCCCGAACGGCACGCGGCAAGGATTGACCCCTCAGGAGGGTCGCGGAGCAGGCCGCGCGCGGCACCCGCGCGGCTCATCACAAGAGGGCGGTCTGGTCCACGATGCCCAACAACATTCATTGAAAAGGCCAACCTAGCACGTGTGCCGGGTCGGCAAAGCACGGCCCCTCGACCTCCAGTCGACCATCGAAGCCGAGAGCGACCCGGATGTTGAAGGCTCGCTGGCTGCACCGCACTCGCCGCCCTCGCAACCTCAAACATGGTCTCCGCCTCGCGCTTGAGCTTCTCGCGGGTGGCATCGTGTTTGACCTCGTGCTCATCCTGGCGGTCCCCACCACCCTTTGGTGTAGGCGTGCCCTCCTCCACACCCACGGGTGCGAGCAAGGTGCCCACGGTCATCTTCAGGACGCTCCCGTAGACGAGAATGCCGCCGCTGGTCTGCCAGGCGAGGCAGACACCGGTGGGACAGGTGAAGCCGCGCAAGTCGGCCTCATGGTCTCGTCCAAGGCCCGCATGACAGCCTTCTTCTCTCCATCGTCCGGCACACCGTCCGAATTGCTGAGCTCGTCACCCAAGTTCAGAATGAAGAAAACTCTCATCCAGCGCACCCGTCGACAACAGCCCGCTCAACTCTATTGTGGGCGGGCTCGATCTCTGCGCACTGCTGGCTGCTGGCATTACACCTTTGGCAACCTGGGCCCGCTCCTTTCCCGCTGCCGCCAGGGCGAGAGCAGCCTCCTGGAGCTTCTGCTTGAACTTGTGCGCGTGTTCTTATCCGACGTTTCGACATTGGGCCAAAGGGGGGGAAGGGGGATCTGGCTCCAGACATCTGCTTCATGCGACTGTTTGCAACAGTGCGTCCTAGGCAAGAGACTCCACCTGCTTGAGACGGGCGCCAAAAACAGCCGCCATAATCTACTCCATAGGTGGGGGAGGGGGCGCGAGGGCCCGCGCCGATCGGCAAAACAATGAATCAGAAAACGATCACCTCCTGGAGCATCTGCTTGACCTTGTCCGTCTAGACGCCAACCTGCTTGGCCTGCTGAGCCCTGAGAGCTTGTCGAAGTCCGTCCGCGCCATGCGGACTCGGGCCGTGACCGCCGCCGCCTGCTACGCGATGGGCATTGAGGCCTCCTCCCTTTAAGCGGCGAGCGCGGGGGGGAAGTGAGAAGGGGCGACCCTCTCAGAAGGCTCGGAAACCCCCCAGCCTCATGAGAAGATTTCTGAGCGTCCCCCGACGGCACGGCATACCTCTCAGAGGGCACGAGCGCTTCCGAGAAGCCACGCCGCCTTCTGAGAAGGCCTGCTCCTTCTAGCTTCCCTCCCCTCGCTCGCCGCCGATTCTTGAACTCCGCTCTGGCAGCGCCCGTCAAGTTCTGGGCCGCCAGTGGCTGTTCTGACCCTGGCAGGAGAGCCCAGAATCGAATCGATGAGTCGGATCGGCGATCGAAATGAATCGGATCGGCGGAAAGCGGCAGCCAAGTCGGGAGAAGTCGAATCGGCAGAAATCTGCAGGCTGGCAGGCCTCCACTGAGGAATCGGAATCCAAATCGGAACCCGAAGTCGAATCGAGTCGGGATCGGAAGCCATCAAAATCGAATCGAATCGGATCGGAGGAATCAAAATGAGCCCTGTGACCCTGGCGTTAGGTCGGGCGTGTCTTCCCACAGGCAGAGATTGGGAGAAACATGAAACAGATTCCAACAAATGGCCAAACATACTCAAACAAAACATCGTCCCCCGACGATGCTTTTACTATGTTTGAAAGCTCCTCCTGAGCGGGGACATGCCCGACTTCGCCCCAGCGCCGCCTGGGTCAGCGCCTGGAGCTGCGCCTGTCCGTGGCATTCCCCCGCGTGCGAGGGCGGCGGGGCCGGGGCGCCGCGGCCCTCGCCCTTGCCCGTGGCCGAAGGCCAGGGGCAAGTGCGAGGCTGGGTCGGGCACGTCCCCCTACAGGCGGATGTTGGGCGAAAACTTGAAGATCGTCACAAAGAAAGACTCACCAACAGTCAAAACAGATTCAAACATCGGCCCCAGGCAATGTTTGCTTGACCAGGTTAGAATATTCCACCTGTAGAGGGACACGCCCGACTTCAGGCTTGGGCGAGCCTCGTAGGGGGGGGGCTCCAGCGAGCCTCGTAGCTTCGTAAAGGTAAGGCCTGGGGCCGACGCCCTCGAAGGCCGAAGGCTCCAGCGAGCCTCGTAGGGGGAAGGCCTTGGCGAGGCTGGCCAAGGCCCTTGGCCATCCCCCGACGAGGCTCGCTGGAGCCTTCGGG